ACACAGCAGTATTCATGCTTATCTGACATCGCAGACACTGAAGTAAAGAATGCATGTATATCCTGTCTTTGTCAAACATCCCACACACTTAAGCAAGGAATACATTGTGTTCTTTTCAACAGTAAGCTTTACCGTGTGAAAATATATAAACACTTGATTATAAGGCATACTTGTTTCTACTTGATTATACTTTAATGATTTAACTAAAATAAAAATTCTTTTAACAGTTTATGTCTTCAATAAATAGAATAAAATTAAGTAAAAAGAAAAAGTAACAATAAGCAAGAATGGCCTGAATTTGTAAACAACAACCCACGTAAATACTGCTTATAACAAAGATGGAAAAATCTTTACATACAAGAAGCTGGAACCAGAATATCTAACAACTAATTTGGCTACTACTACTGCACGCTTATCACCACCACCAACACCAGAATCACTGGGACTTCTCCTTGTGTTGATAAGATAAGTAATATTTCATGCATGTCGTGTAATTGTTGATAAGTAAGATGATTAATTTTGATGATGATTAATTTGCTTGGACATAAAGATTATTTCTTTGTTTTGTTTATTTTGGTGTTTTGGTTGCGTTTCTGAAACTCTGGAAATATATTGTGTCCCCATTTGATGTATACAGTGGTGTGAAAAAGTGTTTGCCCCCTTCCTGATTTCCTAGAGTTTCGGATATTTGTCACATTTACATGTTTCAGATCATTAAACAAATTGTAAATATTAGACAAAGATAGCCTGAGTAAATACAAAGTGAACCAGGCCAAAAGAGTTTAAAAAGCAACACATTACGTCATGATCTAAAGAAACACCCGAGAAACAAAGTCACTGACATTTATCAGCCTGGAAAGAGTTACAAAGTTATTTCTAAGGCTCCAGTGAACCACAGTGGAGAAAACTTGGAACAGTGGTGAACATTCCCAGGAGTGATCAGCCTACTAAACTTACTTCAAGAACACATTGACAACTCATCCAGGAGGACATAAAAGAACCCAGAACAACATTAAAGAACCGCAGGCTTCACTTGTCTCAGTTAAGGTCAGAGTTCGTGATACAACAATAAGAAACAGACTGAGCAAAAATGGCATCCATGGGAGATTTCAAGGAGAAAACCACTGCTGACCAAAAAGAACAAAGGCTCATCTCACATTTGAAACTCGAAACTTTTGGGAAAATATTTTGTGAACTGATGAGAAAATAGCTGAACTCTTTGGAAAGTTTGAGGCCTGGTGTAAAAGTAACACAGCATTTCAGAAAAGGAACATCATAGCAACAGTAAAATATGGTGGTGGAGGTGTGATGGTCTGGGGCTGTTTATATGCCTTGGGACCTGACAGACTTGCTGTGTTAAATGGAGCCATGAATTCTGCTGTCTATTAAAGCATCGTGAAGGAGAATGCACTGCAAAGAATAACATGCAAGCTGGCAGGAAACATGCAGATTGGTGATGTTTGCAGCATGCGGCCTCTTGACCTTAAAAGCCTGAAAGGAAGCTCAGTGTACTTTCAGCAAAAGTCCCACCTTGTATAGACATGGAGGAACAGGCTTACATTTGGTCTTTTATTACACCATTAATGACAGTTTTACAGAGGAATCAGATAACCAGCAAGTTATTTGTTATTAAAAGGTGACTTGTTGCACAACAAAGAATCTCTGTCTTGTTACATTTGCATATAGCATGACTTTATGGAGGAAGTACTTTGCACACCTTCCATCCTTTGTTTCCTCCAACCCATCGCTCATCCACTGTCACCCTCCCTGCTGCAATAAACTGTAATAAATTTGCTTTTGTCCTCTCACATGCACATTTTAACTGTGTTTACCAATTTTTAAGAACATACAGACCTTCACAGCTGATCCTGTGTAAGCCAATTTAGACGTGAAAAAATTGCACAGAACTTTTTTATTTTTATTTATTTATTTGCCAATTTCTCCTTCTACTCCTGACATATGTATAATTAAAAGTTAATAACACGATCTTATGTCATTAGAGAGCCTGAGGGCTTCACACAGGCACAGGGTTACACGATGGTGAGGAACTCTGTTGTTTTACAAGATTATGAATGTCATTATGAAAAGTTACTTCTTTGCCTTTAATGTGGTTAAATTGCTAATGGAGTCTTTGGATGGAATTGGCATTGTCTGTAACAAGCTAATGACCGCTGTGGGAGGCAGCAGGGCAGCCTGTAATGATGGAAAACCAGACGTCTGGGTTATTGAATAATCAGACAGCAACTGCAGCAAAGTGTTTGTCTGACTGCCCTATGATACACTAGTGACACTGGCTTCCCCTTTTCTAGTCGTGGCATAGTCCTTATTGTGGTAATTCCATGCAAATGGAAAACAACAACAACATTTTACCTATGTTTCTGCTAGTGCCTCATGATGTATGCCAAGTGTAAATGCACATTATCTTTCCAGGACTTTAGCTATCTGCAAAACACTTGACACTTGGAAGTTTTACATACTGTGACAAACACATTACAGCTGCTTACTGGAGTCCGGAGTCACATGATCTGTCTATCAGTGAAGAAATCACTGTGTATTTGATGTACAAATTGGGTTAAATGTTGCTTTTACTTCCCAATCATGGGTTTGGAGGGTGTGCAGGAAGAACCAAATGCACGACAAAAAAAAAAGAACTAAACTAAATAAAAATCAAGTCTCATTCACCCAGTGACGCATGCCTTATCATTTTTACACACACTCACACCCCTAAGTATAACCATAGGAAGACAAGACAGACTAAAGAAGTTAAACACAAATAAACTCTAAGTAGGAGTTGAAAAACAGCAATTCTGAACTAAAAGTTCAGAATTGCAGAGTATTTATCAGGCATCTCAAATGCCATAAAACCTGACAGGAAACAAAACTGGAATACTAGGGTCATCTTTCTACAATAACTGTGAAAACATGACTGGGAAACAACATTTTAGTCACAAGAAATCAAACTCATTCTTAGAATAAAGAAATCAAAGGAATCATGAATCTCATAAAGCTGAATGACTTGAAGAGTTATTTAGTTTTATTAAGCCCTGTAGTGTAAATAAAAAACAAAAATTCAAACAATCATTAAAAAGATAAGATGATGCACTCATGTTATTAGTTACTGTTCTTTAAAGCAAAAAAAAAAAAACAGCACCATGAACCATGCATGAACTATGCATTCGCCTCAGGCAGTGGAATTCAAAGAAATACAACAGGAAGAGCTGTATTAGTTCATAAAGAACTCAGTGGTTTGCTCTCAGAGTGCATCTCTGACTGTTTAGTGTTTATAACCCAGTTGGACCCTCAGGTCATCAGGTGCAAAACTCTTCTCAGGGTGCTTTCAGTTACTGTTTCTTAAAAACAATCTGCCCACTGACTTAGAACTTTATCTACATTAAAAAAAACATATTCAAACACTTTTTATTCTCACACGTTGGGGCTACTGTCAAAAATTGTGTGTATCTGTGCGTGTATGTGAACACTAAATTGTATTTTATCTGTGTAAAGTTTTATTTTGTTGTTATTTTATTGCCTTAAGCCATTGTAGACCTGATTTTCATGCTTTTATCTTTATGTCTTCATACAATGAAATGTCCTAGAGAAATAAAATTGAGGTTGACGCTGACATCGCCATTGACTACTCAGGCTTGGAGCCTCCAGCTGTTTGCGTCAGTGTCTGCAGCTGAGTATAATCATGGCCAAAGAATGTAAAACTGCAGCTACTATTCACATAGGAACAGCAAAATTGGACAAGAAGATTGGAAAAATCTTGATCTCTACTGTGACATTAAGATGGTAGAGTCAGAATTTGTGTAAACAACATGAAAACATGGATTCATCCCGTCTTGTATCAACGATAACAGTTCAGACTGCTGCTGTCGGGGTGTATCAATGTGAGGGATATTTTCTTGGCACACTTTGGCTCCTTTAGTTCCAACTGAGCAAAGTCTCAAATCCCCACCCTGTTTGTGCTAACCATGTTCCAGTGTACATTATCTGCTAATATGTTCAGTAGGATAACATGCCGTTTCACGAATGGTTTCTCGAACATGACAATGAGTTCACTGTACTCAAATGGCCTCCAAAATGATCAGATTTTAATCCAACAGAGCAGCTTTGGGAACATATAGACATTCACAGCTACAACCCTGTTCATTACTACTCATGACAGGTGTACAATAAAAAGTTAACAACACAATCCTCCATCATTAGAGAGACTTGAGGCTTCTTACACGCACAGGACTGCATAAGGCTGAGGAAAACTCCTCTGTTGAAACATTATGAATGTTTAATGTGCTTAAATAGCTAATGGGGTGTTTGAGTGGAAATGACATCATCTCCTATGAGCTGCAGCTGAAACCAAACAGAAAACGCCTTATAATAAACATGGATGCAAAACTCCAAAGAACTTAAAAAACTTAAAGTGAAGTTGCTGTGATATACAACTGGTATCCCATAGCATGTAGGAATTATGCCTTTATTGCAAAGAAAGAGAGAGAGAGAGAGAGAAAGGAATTTACCACTGACAACTGGAATTAGTGTGGGAGTAACCATCTGTTTATGGTTATTCATTGTGAAAAAAAATTCCCATAAATGTAACTAGTTTAACATAATCCTCATTATGATTTACTCCAAGAATTTAATTCCACTTCCACCACACAATTGGCAACATAGAAAAAAGTTAGAAATTATGGCTTCCGCTTTCTCTCATTTTTTCCAGCTGTTAGTTACATAGAGAAAGACCAGCTGTAAGCTTGCAAAGTTTCACACGCGAATCAAAGAAGCTTTTGTGTGCGTTAATAAGAGTTTGGTAGGTTTTAAGAGCCCCTCTGATTGAGGGGGCGATCATAGGCTCCTGCCTCCTCTGACTCTCGTTGATTTTGAACGTTTTTCTTATCACACACACACTCACCAACACACGAACCAGTCGAGTCAAGAGACAACTGTGAGCTAATTCAGTACAGGGCACTCATGTTACTACGTGCTTTTAGTGCGGAGGGGAGAGGGGTTTAGCCAATGTGGGCAGAGGGAGGGGAAAGTACACACAGAAGCCCGAGAGAATGGGGCTAAAACAGAGCTGTAGTTGAGAAGAAATGGCGGACTTTCCTCGTGTGAGCAAATGACAAAAAAGGTGCGCGACAACACAAAGAAACGGACGAGCAAAGCAGAAGTGGCGAGAATTTAAGAGGGATGTGGAGGAACGTTCTATCGGTTTCATCTCGGCTGACTGCCACCAAAGTGTAACGAGAGGAAACAGAGTAACAGAAGTGCGCACAGGGGCTCAAACTTGTCTCGACCAGTCTGGCGGAAAAGAAATCATACTAGACAGAGAGAAATGACTGAATTTCTGGTGCTTAATTTATCGAGGAGGGATTTGAACCAAAGAGGCAAATGAGACAGGAAGAGAGTGAGCGAGGGAGGCGGGAGTGATGAGTGCGTAAAACAGCAGACAGGCATGAGGAAAAAGATTAACAGCCTTCACTGAGCCGGCGTGTGTGCTTGTGAAGTACTTCGTGGCAGTGCAAACCGAGTTTGGAAATATGAGAACATAGGCAACGGGACAGGGTAGATAAAACAAGCGCGTGTTGCGCAAGGTAAAAGCAGGACAAGGAGGGAGAGAGACAGACAAAAAGGTGGGCCTCTAAAGGGAAAGACTAACAGGAGGGGAGAGGTATGAGGGGACAGCTCTCGAAGTCTTTCTTGTCTCTCATGATCACTCTCGTCTGTCTGGGGAGCCTGATGACCACTCTCATCTGGTACAAGTCGGACGGCAAGTGAGTGCATAACTACATTTGTGCCTAGAGAGCAAAAACTAAAGAGGCTGTGGAAGAACGATTGTGCTCACCTTATAAAAGTAGCAACAACAATGTGAAACTAGAAAGCGAACATTTCTGAAGAAACTTTAATTGTGCCTATGCCGGTGTTCTGATAAACCATCCTACTTTGGCAAAACGTCCTACCGTAAGTAGTTTATGCACATTTCTGCTGTCACAGAGTAATTCCAGCATAAATGTAAGTAGGTTTGACGGTTTGCCACTTTTGGCCATCAGAGTATGCTTGTAGCTCATATCCATAAAGCCAGGACGGTTTGCCACTTCATTTTACCGGTTTAAGTATGCTTGTAGGTCACATTCACAAAAGTAGCATGGCTTGGAACTTAATTGTACCCGTCAGAGTGTGTTTCTAGCGCTTATTAACAAATGTAGGGTGATCTGCCACTTAATTTTTGCTGTTAAAGTATGCTTCTAGCTCATATTCATAAAGGTAGGACGATTAGCCACTTAATTGTAGCTGTTAAAGTATGCTTGTAGGTTACATTCACAATGGTAGGACGGTTTTGCACTTAATTTTACTCGTCAGAGTATGTTTTGACCTCATATTAACAAAGGTAGTTGTCAGAAGACAGGATCTATGTGGTTGAAGGAAAAAACTGTTGAGTTTTAAACAGTCATCAGTTCATAGCTGTTAAGGCTGGTTGCTATAGTAACTCGTGTGAGTGGCAGGAGGCGTTGGGACACACACACACTGCATTTGGGGTCAAACACAGAGAACGGCAAACAGGAATTAAACTCTGAAGCAAATTGTTCCCAAGAGAAACCTGTAGGTCCGATCACAAAGATTCTTTCACTGTGAGTGGTAGGAACTTCCAGACTACAACATAATAAATTTCCATGCCTGTAGAGTGTATTATACTGACGTGGTGACAGTGTAAAGACACGCTCTGATGTTAAATTTGAACCGAAAATTGAGAGTAGGTTTAGAATGGCCGTCTATGGGGACAGAGAGGGAGGAGGCTGCGCTTTGATGGCATTTGTGTGAAAACCGTAAATATGATCTCAGTGAGGAAGACACTGGATGAAAGTAGACAACGATAGCTATGTTTTGATGTATAAATTATACATGTAGGGCAAACGGTTTGGGTGGGAAAGGAAGAGAAAGACCTTTTTTTCAAATTATTCTCCAGACTCACAACATGGATTTGGTCAATAAAAGTCCAAAGTCTTGTGACCTGTAGAAGTTTAAATGATGTTTCTATGACAAGGTATGGCCGAGCGGTGGACCTTCAAAGTGGCCTGGGTTGGGACCTTTTTTCAGGCCCTTTCCCATAGCACACCATTCCCTATCGAGCCATATGAAA